GAAACAATAGCAAGCAAGAAAAAAACCACTTGTGTCCTTATCTTGGGGTTCATTTCACTTAACATTATCTTATCTGACCTTTTCTACTTGTCTCAGATATATACTAGTTATTGCAAATAAGGGAAACCATGGGGCCTATGTTTCTTTGGGCCTGGCTTATTTCACTTAATATAATTTTTTCCAAGTCTTTCCCTTTCCTAACAAATGGGGTGGTGTCATTCTTTCTGATGGAGGCATAGAATTACATTGTGTTTATATACACTGCATTTTCTTGATCCATTCATCTACTGAGGGGCACCTGGGTTGGTTCCATATCTTAGCTATGGTAAATAATGCTGCAGTAAACATAGTTGTGCTGGTAGTTTTAATATGGTCTTGTTTGTGATCATTCTGGTAAATGCCCAAAAGTGGGATTGCTGGGTCATAGGGGACCTCCATGCAGAGTCTTTTGAGGCCTCCACACTACTTTCCAAAGTGGTTGAACAAGTTTACACTCCCACCAACAATGCAGTAGGGTTCCCTTCTGGCCACATCCCCTCCAGCATCTGTTGTTAAGAGTTCTTGATTATAGCCATTCTAACTGGGGTAAGGTGATATCTCAATGTTGTTTTGATTTGCATTTCTTTTATGGCTAGAGAGGTTGAGCATTTCTTCATGTGTTTATTGACCATTCTTATTTCCTCTCCAGAGAAGTTTCTCTTTAAGTCTTTAGCCCACTTATTTATTGGGCAGTTATTCCTTTGAGGATTTGTTGTTGGGGGATTTAATTTTTTGAGTTCCAGGTATATTTTAGATATGAGACCCTTGTCCGTTGTATGGCTAGTGAAGAACTTCTCCCAATCCATGGACTTTCTATTTATCTTGCTAGCTATGTCCTTTGCCATGCAGAAGTTCTGCAACTTCATGCAATCCCATTTGTCCAACCTTTCTTTGATTTGTTGTGTTTCTCCCCCCTCATATTTTCATTTTGAAACAGTTTCTTCCCAGGCTATCCTGGAACTTACCTATTTTTGCCAAGATAGTCTTAGACTCATGATCCTCCTACATTAGCCACCTTCATGCTAGGATTACAAATGAATATCACCATGCTTGGACCACCCATACACTAGATTAAGTGCTATGTTAATAATAATATTGTTTAAGGAATTGTTTAAGGGTATTGTTTAAGGAATAATGATAAAAAATACGTGTGTACATGGTCAGAACTGAAACAATTTTTCCAAAATATGCTTGCTATGTGGATGGTTGAATACATAAATGTAGAAGTCACAGACAGAGGGCCATTTTCTTTTCAGTTGCATAAACATGTAAGAATGGAATGTGTGGATCACATGATAGGTATAAATTTAACTTACATACCTTAAAAGTATGAATTTAATGTTTTTAAGGATATCTATGTTGTGCAAACACCATACCTAAATTATGATACTCCCTGATCACCAGCAAAAAACTGTTTATTGAGTGTCACTTTCCATTTACTTCTCAGTCTGGTCTTTAGAAACTACTAGGCTACCTTTTGTTTCTAAGTATATTTGCCTATTTTGGACATTTTATATAGATGTAATTATATAATATGTGGTCAATACGTGAATGATTTTTTTACCTAACATAATGTTTGGAAGGATTATCATAATATAGTATGTATCAATGCTTTATTTCATTTAATTACAGAATAATATTGCATTATGTAGATGCACTATGTTTATTAATTTATCATTTGATAGATATTGGATCTTTGGTTTTTTTGACTGTTATGAATAATGATGTGATAAACATCATGTGATGTATTTTTGTATGGACATATATCTTCTATTTTCTTGGGCATATACTTATGAGAGGGATTGCTGAGTTATGTGGTAATTCTGTTTAAAACTTTGAAGGTGGTGCCAGTGGCTCATACCTGTAATCCTAAATATTCAGTAGTTGAGATCTGAGGATTGAAGTTCAAAGCCAGCCCAGGCAGATAAATCTAAGACTCTTATCTCTACCTAACCAGTACAAAGCTGGAGTAGAGGTGTGACTTAACTAGCAGAGTGCCAGCCTTGAGTGAAAAAGCTTAGCATGAGTGAGAAGCCCTGAAATTAAGCCCTAGTACCAGCACAAAAGGAAAAAAAAATTGTCGGTCATAGGGCTTGAACTCAGGTCCTCAGCACTGTCTCCCCGAGCTTTTGTGCTCAAGGCTAATGCTCTACCATTTTGAGCCACAGTTCCACTTTTGGTTTTCTGATGGTTAATTGGAGATAGGAGTTGATAGACTTTTCTGCATGGGCAGGCTTTGAACTGTGATGCTCAGATCTCAGCCTCATGAGTAGCTAGGATGAGCACCTGGAGTAAAACAAGATTTTGAGTAATTTACGTTGAACTGTTTTCTAAGGTGGCAATAGGTGTCCATCATCTTGTCATAGTCTCACCATTGCTATTCTTTCCCTTTTAAAGTCATCTGGTGGATATGAAGTAGTATATTGTTGCACTATTGATTGACAATTCTCTAAAGATAATGGTGGTGAGTTTCTTTTATGTGATAATGTAATTTATAATACATATAAAGAAATATGCACCCCAACTATTTGTCCATTGTAAAATTGTGTTGCCTTTCATTGTTGGGTTGCAAGAATTCTTTTTTTTTAATTTAATTTTA